TTGATTCCCTAGTGGCCCATCCTTGTCCCGCTCCCTAACTTCTAAACACCCAGCGCCATGACTCTGAAATCCTGCCTGACTGTCTGTAGAGGTACTCTCTTCACCCCTCAAATGCCTCTGTTCAGTTTCTCTACTGTAGCCCTGGCTGTCCTGGATCCCGCTCTATAGACCAAGCTAGCCTTGATCTTAAAGATGGTTGCCTTAGGTGTGTGTCACCATGCCCAGCTTCAGTATTTTTAATATACTCTACTTCTGCCTTTTTCTATGTCGGTAAATTTTTTTTTTTTTTTAGTAAGATTTATTATGTATACAGTATTCTGCCTACATATATCCTATAGGCCAGTAGAGGGCACCAGATCTCATTCCAGATGGTTGTGAGCCACCATGTGGTGGCTGGGAATTGAACTCAGGACCTCTGGAAGAACAGTCAGTGCTCTAAACCTCTGAGCCATCTCTCCAGCCCCCAGGTAAATTCTTTCACAGCCTGCTCACTCACAGCTTGTCAACACCAGCTCTAGCAGGCAGCCTTCTGAGAGTTAAACTCTCTGCAGTTTTGGAAAGAATATCTCTTTACAAAGTATATTATAAATGAGATTTTTTACAACAACCGTAATTTTAACATGCACCTGTAGTTTTCCATATGGGCTGTAGAGACTTGGTGGCTCATAGAAAAGGCCAAGTCATTGTAACTTTGCGATTCAGGTGCTTTATTTTAGTTCTAAAGTTAGAATTTTAAGCTCCATTATTTTTGTTTCAAGCAACATGTTATCATTGCTTCCAAGTATTTTAAAATCAAGGTGCAAAGGGGTTGTTTTCATAACTCAGAGTGCTGCATTGAGAAAAATCACAGGGGAAAAAGTTCTTTCCAAGAGAATATTTCATAGCCTCACTTTGTGTGTCAGTTGCTGAAGATAAAGACAAAGTTATTATTCTTCTGGAAGGTACTACACTGGAGACACAATAGTCTATTTCCACATGAAATCCGTAGGAAGAGTCAATGCATTGTTTCCTATTTAATGAAAGACTCATCTAAATATACTTGTCACTTCATATTAATGTTTTCACATTAAAAAGTCAATATCAATATTAAGCTAAGAACGATCACTGCTATCCTTTAGGTACTTAATATGGGGCAATTTCTGTACATTTCTTCTCTACTTTGAAGCAATATAATAACAGCTAACATTTAGATTTATTTTCTACATGTAGGTATTTTTCCAAACACCTTCACCCCCCCCCACCTCAGCATTGTGTCTATAGACCAGGCTGTCCTCAAACTCAGAGATCTGCCTGCCTCTGCCTGCCAAGTGCTGGAACTAAAGGTGTGCATCACCATACCTAGAAAATACATATTTTTCAAAAGCTGAAAGAAAGGTGCTGCTTTAGAGTGCACTTTGAAGAGGTTCACATGGCAACGGACTATCTAGGAGCCCACAAGGAACTCAGTCCTCCCAGTGTCCGTGGGAATGAATGAATGTGGAAATCGATATTTTCCCAGTTGAACCTTAAGATGAATGGAAATTTCACTTAACAGGGTTCTCCTAAGAAATCTTGAGCCAGACAGGCTGAGATAAACTGATGTACTAACCTATGAAAATTTGAGGTAATATATATTTGCTGTTTTAAGACTCTAAATTGTGGGGTAATAGATAAGCAAAAACTATAGCAATCTTTGTCATTTAATATTTCATATACATATATTCACATCCATTTATTTTATAGGTATGATGTATTTCTGAAGTGAGTGAGTACAATTTTATATAGCCTTGGCATCCCAAGTTTAACTTCCTCAATCAGAAGCAACACTGAGTTATCCATGGCTGAGTATCTGGTAGACTCCACCACAATGGAGCCAGCTGGTGAGCAGATATAAAAACTTGAAGGCATCTCCCGCAGCTCCCAGACTGGAGTCCCTGCTTTGCCAGCACTTCTGTTTAAAGGACTGCTCACCATTTGCCCAAGAACTCCAAGTGGCCATCCTTCAGTTACAGCATGACCTAGAACATTTGCCCAGGAACTTCAAATGCTGCTATTTTGAGACAGAGTCTTGCCATGTAAGCCAGGCTGGCCTCAACTTTGCCATCCTCTCGCCTCAGTTTCCTGAGTTCTGGGATCACAGCTATGTATTACCAAACTCAGGTGCCTGTTCGCTTTAACCTACCAACTGAAGCTACTCCAGGGAAAATAATTGGCTGGTGCCCTGGACACAGTGAAGACATTAAGTGCCCTAGGTCCTACTGCTTAGTGCCTGAGTGCCTGAGTATTTTGTAGTTTTCTTTAGGCCCAGAGACAAGGATTACAAATGGGATTACATCAGATTGAAAAGGATCTGAACAATGAAGGAAACAGTTGCCAGTGGGCAGAGACAGTCAACAGAATGGGAGGAAAATCTATGTCAGATATTATCAAACATGGGATTATGTTCAGAATATATAGATAACAAAAAATAAAACAAGAAAACAAATTATCCAACCAACAAATTGCATATAAATTAAACATATCAAAAGAATAAGTATAAATGGCTAATAAATACACTTAAAAGTACTCAGGATCTTTAGCCAGACCTGGGTCAGAATGGCAAACACATTATTATCAAAAAAGTAGATAACAAAAAGCCAGGTGTGGTAATTACATCTGTAATCCCAGCATTTGGGAGGTAACTTGTTTGAACTTTGGAGTAAGGCCTAGTTTCAAAAAGCAATGAGTGAAAAAGAAAAAGAAAAGAAAAATGCTTAAACATTGGCAAGGATGGAAAAGACAGGGACCTTTATGCACTGTTAGGAGGAATATAAGTTACTGTAAACACTAACACTATGGGAATGAGTATGTGAGTATGGAGGTCTGTAATAGCTTGAATGATGGTGACCTTCATGGGCTCTTGTGTTTGGATATTTGGCCCTCAGTTCGTAGGCTGTTTTAAAAGGGTTTATGAGGTATGACCTTGTTAGAAAAGGTGTGTCACTGGAGTGGGCTTTGGGGGCTCAAAAGCCCATGCAACACACACACACACACACACACACACACACACACACACTCTGCCTCATGCTGTGGATCAGGCTAGAAGCTCTCAGATACTGCTCTAGCATCCTGTCAACCTGCTGCCGCCATAGTCCTGCCATGAGAGTCATTGACTAACTCTTCAAAGCAGGCAGCAAGACCCAGATTAAATGTTCTCTTTTATGAGTTGCCCTGGTTGGGGTGTCTCTCCACACCAATATAACAGTAATTAAAAATTCCCAAACCATAAGAATAAACTACTGCAAGATCCATGAATACCATCCCTAAGTATAAACCTGAAAGCATCGAAGACAGCATATAGCAGAGATACCTGCACACTGTGTTCACTTGGCAGCATGCACAATAGCCAAGCCATGTAATCAGCCTATGAGCTGTCGAATGGAAAAAGTTATTAACACACACACACACACATACACACACACACACACACACACACACACACACACACAGAGAGAGAGAGAGAGAGAGAGAGAGAGAGAGAGAGAGAGAGAGAGAGAGAGAATTCAGCCATGATGAGTGAAATCATGTCATTTGTGGTGAAAGAAACTATCACGCGTCTTAGTCAATGTTCTATTGCTGTGAAGAGACACCATGGCCATCGGAACAAAGGAAAGCTTTCCATTGGTCTTGCTTACAGTTTGGAGGTTTAGTCCATTCTCCTCATGGAGCACATTGGCCTGCAGACAGGCAGACATGGTAGCTGAGATTTCTGGGTCAGCAAGCAGCAGGAAGAGAGAGACACTGGGCCTGGCTTGAGCTTTTGAGACTCCCTACCCACTCCCCAAAGCCCACTCCCAGTGACACACTTCCTGCAAGAAGGCCACACCCACTCCAACAAGGCCACTTCCTAATCCTTGTCAAGTAACAGCCACTCCCTAGTGACCAAGCATTCAAATCTGTGAGCTTATGGGGCCATTGCTATCAAACCACCACATCAAGTCGCAAAGTAGGCCAGGCTCAGAAGGAAAAGTACTACTTTTTTTTTCATTCACATGTAGATTCTAGATTGTTAAGGTCTGGAGAGATGGCTTAGCAGTTAAGGATACTGGCTGCCCTTCCAGAAGATCTGGCTTCAATTCCCAGCACCAACATGGCAGCTCACAATCATTTGTTGCCCCAGATCCTGAGGTGCCAATGCCTTCTTTGGGCCTCCACAGGCACTGCTTGCACATGGTGCACAGATATACACAGGGGAAACACCCATAGACATAAAATATTATAAAAGCCATGAAAATGCACCGAGCAGTGGTGGCTCACACCTTTAATCTCAGCACTCAGGAGTCCAAGGCAGACAGATCTTTCTGAGTTCAGGACCAGCCGAGTCTACGGAGCGAGTTCAAGTCAGCCAGGGCTACACAGAGAAACCCTGTCTCAAAAAAAACAAAACAAAACAAAACAAAAAAAAAAAAAAAAAAAAGAAAGAAAGAAAAAGGAAGAAAGGAAGAGAGAAAGAAGGCAGAAAAAAGCCTAACGGAGGATATAGGAGGGAAGAAAGGGGTCAAAGAGGAAGGGCAGGGGAGTAAGGAAGGAGGATCACTGAGAAAAGAGTATGAAGGAAAATGCAACGTCACTTTGTAGGATAACTTTTTAAAAAAATGGTGAAACTGAGTTTTCTTCTTTCCCCCAAATCCTTTATTTTTGCATCCTTGTTTTTTTTTTTTTGTTTTTTGTTTTTTTTTGTCCTTTCTGTAAGAAAAACTACACTGCTGTACTCTGCAGCTTCCAGCAGAGGGTGAATTTTAAGGCGGGAGACTTCAGGATGTACATATAGCTCTACTGTATACCAGAAAGCTAGTCTTGCTCGGCTGCCATCCTTGCACTGGGTCCAAATCCAGAAGGCCTTTGGCCCTGGGCTTTCCCCCAGACCAGCCTGGGTGCTGGGCGTAGCTACGCCTCAGCTTCCAGCCTCTGATTGGCTCTGAGAGGCCAACACCTTGACCAATGAAGCCCGGGGGCGTTGTCCCTGGGCGAGTCCTCAGCCTCACGTGGTGCATTCAGGGTCTCACTCTCCTGCAACTACCTCTCTGGCCTTGGCTGCAGCTCTGGTTTCTTCCATTCTTTCGGACCCAGACTGACATGGCTCCGGCTACTATGGCAGCTGCAAGGAGAGCTCTCTGCCTAGCTGTCCCGCTTTTCCGGCGCGGTTACCAGACGGAGAGGGGCGTCTATGGCTACCGGCCTAGGAAGGCCGAGAGCGGAGAGCCCCGAGGCGACCGTACACGCCCCTCAGGTTAGGGGTGCAGCTGGACACTGGAAGGGCAGGGACCAACCTGCGCTGCGTGTGGTAGGGTGCTCTTGAAAGTGGGTACTGGGCGCCTGGGAACTTCTGGCCTGTGAAGGATCGCTGCCTGGGAGAGCTGAGGATATGGTAGGAGGAAGGTGTGGGAGTTGTCAGTGTCGAGGTCACCCCACTGTCTAGCTTCCACAATTGGGCATCCCTGGGCTTTGTATTCACGTAGTCTCCCCATCTTTTTTGTTGGATCCCAGTTTGGGAACAGCTTCTCTTTTCCATTCCTCATCCCTCAACAAGTAGGAATTTAGCCCTTTGTGGAGATGGTTCTGTGAAAAGACACACGTTCTAAGATCTCCCAGCTCTTAACCAGACGATATATTTGCAGGGCCAACAGATGGCATCTCTGTGCTACTTGCAGGAGGGCAGTTGGTACATGATCTAGACAACAGTGGTATTATTTGCCCTTGGACCTAGCTAGCCTTTCGCTTTAATTGCTGAACTCGCAACCAAGTGGCTGATAGGTTTTGACGTAATTTGCCAACGCAAAAATCAGTTTTTGGAACTATTTTGCAATCTCGTGTCCAAGAATAATTTCGAGTATTTGGTTTATGCTACAAAGTTAAGTTATTCTATCATTTGTCCTTATGCAGTAGAAAAATGCAGATTATTAGAGAAAACTGTTGGCATCTTTAAATTTTTTTTTACATTTATTTATTTGTTATATATCTTTCATATTTATTTAGGTGTATAAGCGTTTTACCTGCATGCATATATGTATACCATGTGCATGCCTGGTGTCCAAAGAAGGCATTGGATTCCCTGGAACTGGATGCACAGATACTGTGAACCAGCATGTGGGTGCTGGGAATCTAACCCCAATCCTTTGCAACTATGCTTGTTTAACTACTCAGCCATTTCTCCAGCCCCCATTTAGCTTCTTAATTTAAAAAAATTGCTATTTATTGAGCTCTACATTTTTCTCTGCTCCCCTCCCTGCCTCTCCCCTCCCCACTTCAACCCTCCCCCAAGGTCCCCATGCTCCCAATTTACTCAGGAGATCTTGTCTTTTTCTGCTTCCCATGTAGATTAGATCCATGTAAGTCTCTCTTAGTGTCCTCATTGTTGTCTAAGTTCTCTGGGATTGTGGTTTGTAGGCTGGCTTGCTTTGCTTTATGTTTAAACACCACCTATGAGTGAGTACATGTGATAATTGTCTTTCTGTGTCTGGTTTACCTCACTCAAAATAATGTTTTCTAGCTCCATCCATTTTCTTGCAAAATTCAAGCTGTCAATATTTTTTTCTGCTGTATAGTACTCCATTGTGTAAATGTACCAAATTTTCCTTTTCCATTCTTTGGTCAAGGGGCATTTAGGTTTTTTCAAGGTCCTGGCTATGACAAACAAAGCTACTATGAACACAGTTGAGCACATTTCCTTGTGGCACAGCTGAGCATTCTTTGGATATATACCCAAAAGTGGTATTACTGGGTCTTGAGGAAGGTTGTTTCCTAATTTTTTGGGAAATCACCACACTGACATCTAAAGGGATTGTACCAGCTTGCATTCCCACCAGCAATGAAGAAGTATTCCCTTTTCCCCACAACCTCTCCAGCATAAGTTGTCATCAGTGTTTTTGATCTTGGCCATTCTTACAGGTGTAAGATGGAATCTCAGAGTTGTTTTGATTTGCATTTCTCTGATGACTAAGAGTGTTGAGCATTTCCTTAAGTGTCTTTCAGCCATTTTAGATTCTTCTGTTGACAGTTCTCTGTTTAGGTCTGTATTCCATTTTTTAATTGGATTATGTGTTCTTTTGGTGTCCAATTTCTCGAGTTTTTTTGTATATTTTGGAGATCAGACCTCTGTCTGATGTGGGTTAGTGAAGATCTTTTCGCATTCTGTAGGCTGTTGTTTTGTCTTGTTGACCATGTCCTTTGCTTTACAGAAGCTTTTCAATTTCAGGAGGTCCCATTTATTAATTTTTTCTCTCAGTGTCTGTGCTGCTGGGGTTATTTAGGAAGTGGTCTCCTGTGCCAATGCGTTCAAGTGTACTTCCCACTTTCTCTTCTATGAGGTTCAGTGTGGCTGGCTTTATGTTGAGGTTTTGATCCATTTGGACTTGAGTTTTGTGCATGGTGATAGATATGGGTCTATTTTCATTCTTCTACATGCTGATATCCAGTTATGCCAGCACCACTTGTTAAATATGCTTTCTCTTTTCCATTTGATATTTTTTGCTTCTTTGTAAAAAATCAGGTGTTTGAAGATGTGTGGATTGATATCCAGGTCTTCTATTAGGTACCACCATTTAGCTTCTTGTTTGTTTGAAACAGGGTGTCATGTAACCTTAACTGATGTGGAGCTTGTGTAGACTAGGCTGGTCACAAACTCAGAGATCTGCCTGCCTCTGCCTCCTAAGCAGTGGGATTAAAGGTGTGCGACACGATGTCCCCACCCCCCAGTTGGCTTCTTTGATCCTAATATTAATGTTGACAGTCCCCTCTGTCAGGCTTGCTGAATGCCTTTAGTCCTCTCACTAGAGAGGCAAAGGCAGCTTGGGCTTCTGTGAGTTCAATGCCATCCTGTTCTACATAGCGAATTCAGGTCAGCTGAAGCTACGTAGTAAAACCGTTTTGACTAAAATATACAAATCCTTTTTATCGTTTAAGTGCTACCAGATCTTTCTTTGACTCTTCACACTTTGGAACCTTAGAGTATTTTTGCTCTTTATCTTGGGAACCATTGAAAATAAATCTCATTTTCTTTCTTTTGTGTAGCCCTGGCTGTCCTAGAACTCGCTCTGTAAATCAGGCTGGACTCAAACTCAGAGATCCACCGCCTCTGCCTGAGTGCTGTTTTAAAAGCATGGCCACCATACCTGGCTGTAGTCAATTTTTTTTTTGGGGGGGGAAGCATTTTGACCACTAGATTGTTAATTCTGCATTTGCAAGGCTGTAGATGTTTTCTTCCACATTGCAATTTCAGTGTGTAGACTTTTTTTTTCAGTGTCGTTCAAACCTATAACCCTACTTACCGAGCTACTTACTCCTCAGCTCCCTATAATTCATATCCATTATTCTTGAACTTATTTGTTGATGAACAGTGATTTTGGTTCTTAAAATGCCAGTTCCTAGCTCTGAATCTTTTCTCTTTACCCAGGTTCTAATTCAGTGACCAGGTTCTGAAACATAACCACCACCACCCCACATCCCCCCCCCCCCCCCCCCCCCCCCCCCCCCCCCCCGCTTTTCTTTTTATAGCGTTGAGATCAAACTGAGGGCCTTGTGCATGCTAGGCAAGTTCTGGACCACTCCATACACCCTCAGCCTAGGATTATGTGAATGTGTGTATCTGTGTGTGTCCGCCTTTGGCTAGTCATAAGGGTATGTTGTACATGAAGGGACAAAACCTTTAAGGTCGTGTTAGTGGACATTCAACATACAGCTGCTGTGATTGGTTTGACCTTTTCTTTCACATCCGACTGACCTAATGAATTAAGATTGCCGTGGAAAAACCCGTCTAATAGTTACCATTTGGAAGAGTATATGAGAATCACCTTGGGAACTTCAGGCTGGTATAGTTAGAAGAATATCTCTGGAGTTGATTTTACGTTTAAGTCCTTCTTTCTTCCCTTATCACCAAATCACTTTCCACAGCCTCCTAATAGAGAACTTGCTTTAGTAGAGCTTCCTGGTAACATCTGAAAGTTCAGTGTTTTTTTTTTTTTTTTGTTTTGTTTTTTGTTTTTGTTTTTCGAGACAGGGTTTCTCTGTGGCTTTGGAGCCTGTCCTGGCACTAGCTCTGTAGACCAGGCTGGTCTTGAACTCACAGAGATCCGCCTGCCTCTGCCTCCCGAGTGCTGGGATTAAAGGTGTGCACCACCACAGCCTGGCTTTTGTTTTTTGTTCTCTCTCTCTCTCTCTCTCTCTCTCTCTCTCTCTCTCTCTCTCTCTCTCTCTCTCTCTCTCTCTCTCTCTGTATGTGTGTACACATGCATGTGCACACATAGAGCTAGAGTTATAGTTGGTTGTGAGCCACTCAGTATGGATGCTGGGAACCAAACCTGGGTCTTCTGCAAGAGCATCAAATGCTCTTAACTGCCGGGCCATGTTCCAGCCCCTTAAACGTCATAAATGACATTGTGTGCTGCATACAAAAGGCTGGTCATACCAGGTGGAGGATGTCTCCCCTGAGATTCAGATACTATTTCTTCTTTTACCTCATTCGTATTTAGAAACTTGAGCAATATAGAATATGTATTATCTATACCTAAATCTCTGGGCATCGCAGGTACTGAGTAAACATATTTGAGTTAAAACAAAAACAAAATAAGTCTCCCAGACAGCCTCTCTGGAATCACTATTCCTATCCTCATTTTATTATCTTAGTGTGCGGTCCTGTGACACTCGAGGGAAGCACTTTGCCTGGAGCTCTTGCCTCTGGGTCCTGCTCTTTTCTCCTTGTTATATTTTTCTAGGTGCTAAGACACAGTCGCTCTCGATAGCAGTGCTGAATTTCTACCCATTTGTTGATAATATAGTTTCCACTTGACCTCATGCTTTCTTTCATTCTTTTAAAGATTTTTTAAATTTTATGTATAGAGGTGTTTTGCATGCACTTGTGTCTCTGTACCACATATGACTGGTGTCTGTGTACCGCATATCCCAGTCCCAGAGGTCCCTGAGACTGGGAGTCATCTTGTGGGTGCTAGGAATCAAGTCTGGATCCTCTGGAAGAGCAGTCAGTGCTCTTAATCTCTGAGTTGCTTCTCCAGTCCCACTGTTTATTCCTTAGTAAGAGATATAAGGTCAGGGCTCTCTGTTGGCACCAGGCACACGTGTGGTGCACAGACACACATGAAAGCAAAATACCCATTTACAAAAATAAAAATAAAGGTTAAAAAAGACACATATATCATATGTTCTTGTATATGCAATTTTTTGAGACATAGTCTTCTTACTCTGTAATTCTAGTTGACCTGTTACTTGTTTTTGTAA